TCCAGGTGGGGTCCTAATTTAGCTGGCTTAGAGGTGCCGAGCAGTGGGGGTATTGTTCAGAATATCATTATCCCCTCAAAGGAGATCAATTAAGGTAAACTAGGCTTTGAACAAATTAACAATTATGCACAATATAATTCAAAAAAACAAGTCAAACTAACCTTAAAGGAGAATTATGAGGCGAGTGATTTTCACTCAGCCTCATAATCTGAGCCGACCTGTGACCGACCTGCGACGACTGTCACAGGTCGGCTCAGTAGATCGGGAAGTGAGCGAACACATACCGGCGCTCGCTCAATTCTCGATCTATCCGTGCAGAGAGCCGTGATTGTTACTCACAGCTCGCGGCAGGGATTCCCCCCCGTCCGATCCTCCAGAGCTGACTGGCGGAACAGACGGGGAGGGACGGGTACAGCTGGCTCTGCCTCTAGATAGGCAGAGCCAGCTGTCACTCACTCAGCTGGGTGGATAGAGACAGAATTGTCGGGATCCGTTCTGGCTGCGGCGTCTCAGTATGAGCTTTGGGTAATGGGAGGACGCTAGTTTGTGTCCTCCCGTTACCTAAGGAGAACTATGGGGAAAAGCCCTAACCCCATAGTTCTCCTTTAACTTAACTTTAATGTCCATGTACAGCAGTGTTTATTCTAAAAGAAAACTCCAAACAGTTGTGACATCTACCAAAATAAATGTAATTTATAAAATTGTGTCGTCCAACTATTATGTATGAAATACCACTGGCATGTCCTTAATTTAGAGAAATGCTTTAACAGTAAACTGCTTGTGACCATTGAGAACCAACAAAGAATCTGCAAGAGATCTTTGGAATGGCTTTACAATGTTATCACGAGTAAGATGCATATTAATCATAGTCAGCGTCAATACTGAGGGTCCACTTCAACTTGTTAGCTTCTGTTTATTTTATTATGTAATGTCTATATCCAAAATACCTATTGTTTAAAGAAGATTTAACTGTTGTCATTTTTTTTTTAATTATGATAATAATAGTGATACATTGAATGCAGTATTCCATACTTAAAAACAAAATATACTGTTGTTTTGATAATGCTGGAAATTTAGCTCATTGCACCTATCTCATAGAAATGACAAGAGCTGCACATTCTTCTAACATTACAAACCACATACTAAAATAAAGTAAATATTGACATCATTTTTGGCTCTCGGGCCACATTTTATTCAGACTGCTCCTAAAATGATACAGGGGAGAAACTACTAAATGTTTTAACAGGGGTCAAACAAAACCTCAGCCAGAAAAAAGACCGCATTAGTGAGGGACACTTACCATCACTAATTATTTAGATGAGGTTTATAATTCTTAAAGAGAACAAGCCAACAACAGGTATTTTTAAAAATTGGAATACCCACTTTACCGGACTAATTATAATAGTGCAACCAAACATAATATGCATATTAGGTCCTTAAATGGTTACACAGATACGGTAACTTTTGCCATTGTTTTATCTCTAGTATCTCAGTGGCAGATGTAACAACTTCTTTTTACAATGAGTCAACCCATGATGGATGGCAGGAACCTGAAGCTACTCCTACTGGTCTAGCAAAGTAAAAGTGTCAGCAAACGTCCAGTGACATTTTACTGAATACATTATTTGCATATATTAATGTGTGGTGTCTTTTGGATCTGGATAATGCACGACTCTGTAGTGGAGGGAAATTAATATACTGAGAAAGTGATTACGTCTGTTAGAAAATGTTCAATGAAAGTCTATCAGAGTGGATTACTACTGGCTACCGGGGTAATATCAGTTGTTATGGGAGGTTACAATAAAACACCATAGCAACAATTTCTGTCAATGAACTGCGAGGTGCAACGTTTTATCGGTACAGACTTGTTTATTATAATGCAGTGTGACACCAGTTATACTTTTAAATGTCTATTCCTGACTGGTTCTCTTTTATATAGGTTAAACGTTTAAGGTTAACCTGTGTACAATTTCTCACTATTTAAATGCAGCCAGACATGAATAGCAGGAACGTGGAAGTGCCCGCTTGTACTTTCAAACAGCTGACAGAGAACCCCCTAATTCATAAAACCTGGGAAGCTCTACTATGAATATACTCTGGCACTTTACCCAGCACCTCACTAATTATCAGTACCTAGCACCCTGGAAGCTATGTACAGATACCTGTTATGTATGTCTGTCAGTTTAGTAGTGAGAAATTGTACACAAATTTACGTGAAAGGTTATATCCAGAATATCTGTTTCATGGCCCGAAGAAGCAGTAATAACCTTACTGATGGTAACACACCAATATATATATATATATATATTCTAAAATGTACAATACACCTCTATCTGACATTTTCACAAACAGCAATGTAGCTATAGGAAAATGTAATCTGTTGCTTTAAAAATGTAAATCCCTTGATGCAAATATGTGTGCCTAATACAATGCTTTATAAAATAAAAAAGATTAGTTTGATGAATGTGGTAATTTGTTGTCATGTTATGGATTACGCAGGTCAAATAAGACAGAAACTCAATGGTGATCCCTTGTGTTCTTTGTACTTAAATAATAATTGGCAATAATGGCTATATATGCAGATTGTAAAAGATTTATCACACACTGTGCTATTGCAATGGGGAATTTAAAGCTTGTGTACTGCTACTTAGGTGTTGGATCATAAAATGCATGTGGTAAATCTAGTTCAGTTCTAGCCATTGTCCAAATTACTGACACTTTAACCCCTTAATAGCCAAGGCCTTTTTTTAGTTGTTTTGCACCCGTGTTATAATCCACGTTTCAGGGCTGAAAATTACTTCAAACCCCCAAACATTATATATTTTCTGAAAGTCAAGACCTGTAGAATAAAATGGTGGCAGTTGCAAATTTGTATTTTGCACCATATTAGCGCAACTTATCAAACCCCCACATTTTTTGAAAAATGCAATCACATTAAATTTACTGCGCCAAAACACAAAAAAATACCCATTTTAATATAATATAAAAGATGAGGTTACAACGAGTAAATAGATACCCAACATGCCAGGTTAAAAATTGTGTGCATCTGTGAAGCGGCGACAAAATTCAGTACTACAAAAAGTGCACAGACAATGCTTTAAAAGTTTAGAGATAAGCATAAATATTGGCCCTAGAATTATTGCTCTCACTCTGGCATGCATGGCGATACCCAACGTGTGTAGCGCAATCATCATTTTCGTACATAGGTGCACCCAACCCGTGTTTATGCGAAGATGCGCATGCTGGTGGGGGACTTTAAATTATATATATTATTGCCATGTGATAGCATATTGGCAGTGACAGATACTCTTTAAGGTGATACTGGGGGTCCAAAAGACCTCTAGTGTCACCTTCCCACTTTCAATAAGCTATTGAAGTGCAGATTGCTGGGCTTCAGGAGCCGAGCAATGACTGCTGTGGGACCAGAAGTAATGTAATCTGCATCGCTCCCGCTCTCATAGAGAGGGGAGGAGATCGGTGAATGGACATGAAAGCCGCCGGGAGTCTGTTTAAACGGGTCTGCTACCAGTGATGAACTATGTACGTCACTGGTCGCAAAGGGGTTCCGCCAAAAAAATATAAAACATGTTTTATTACTCTAACATGCAACTTAACATGATAAAATTAGAATCAAATTGTATGGCTCATTGTGCATTAGGAATCATACATATTACATACATACTAGGGATGTCGCGGACCCGATATTAGTATCGGTATCGGGGCCGATACAGGGTATTTTCAGGAGTACTTGTACTCCTGAAAATGCCCCGATGCATAGAGCCAATACCGGCCCTTTAAATTTTTTTCAAAGAGCTTTGGCCATTGACCCGCATAGCCCCTCCCCCGGAATACCTCTCCACCAAATGCAGTCTCCCTCTCCGCTCTGAACTCTCTGGACGGAAGTGTGACAGCGTGGCGTGCGTTAAGTGTTATGTCCCCTCCTTTTCAACTTGATGAAACTGTTTCCTTTTGGTGATATATCACAATGTGTGAGATGTCCGTGCTCCTTATTTGTTTTATTGGACACTTGTAACAATAGCCAGCCTCCTATTGGATATTTTAAATTGCAATAGCCAATAGCAGGCTGGCTATTGTACCCGCCCATTGCCTGCGGTCAATCAGCAGAGAGGACCTGATGGAGAACTTTGTCTTCAGTTCCGTCCTTTGCTGATTGCGCCTGCCCACTGCCTGCTGTCAATCGCCAGCCTGCTATTGGCTATTGCAATTTAAAATATTCAATAGCAGGCTGGCTATTGCTCCCAGCCACTGAATGATGTATTTAAATTCAGTGAATCCAGTGAAGTGGGAAGGTGACACTAGAGGTCTAAAAGATAACCTGTCACCTCCAATGCCCTGGTGAGAAACTGCCCTAAAATCATTAGTCTGTATTATTTTAGAAAAAATTTCACATGTCCCTTTAAGAAAAATTATCGGTAATTGGTATTGGCAAGTACATGAGGGACAGTACTTGGTCTTGAAAAAGTGGTCTCCGGACATCCCTACTACATACATTATAAAGCGATCTGCTTAGCAAAATGAAGCAGAGATCTGCTTCATCAGCTTCTCTCCAGCATCTGAAGCTGGAGAGTGACACAAGAATATACATCACTTCTGCATTCTGACAGCGGAGAGGGGACCGGAGGGAGAACGTGTACCGATCTCCATCTTATCCCCTGTCCGAGAAGCACTATGCTGGTCCCGGGCTCGCACCGGGCACAGCGGAGCACGGGGCCAGCAGGACGGGGGGCGCACATACCGGGACCTCATACAAGCGTTCCGCCGGCTCTATAGCCGGCAGATCGCTTGTATGTTAACAGGCATTGCTGCCTGTTTTAAAATTGTAGGACTTTACTGCTCCCGAGCGGAACGCGCGAGGGGGCGTGGCTGAGCGGATGTCTAAAGACGCCCGCTCAGATCTAGAGAGCTCCCGGCCAAACTAATATATGCTTCAAATAATTTTCAAACAATTTTACTATACAATCTGTAAATTTGCATCTTACCTGTTAAAATTATCTTTAGCTTGGCAATGTCTTTAGCTTGATTGAGAAATTGTTTTGCCTTCTTGTATTCATAGTAATAGAGAGACAAATATCCACACTCCAGATGGAGTTGCAAAAATAAATCTTGGGCTCCTTTTTCTGAGAGCAAGTTTCCAATTTTCTGAACTGTAACAAAAAGTTCAATTTGCTTTTAAAGCTTTACAAAAATATTGTACCATATAATACATTAAAGGGCAATATAAAATATGAAGATATAGTTAGCTAAAGCAAATTGTGATCTCACATACAATTACAAAGCGGTGATGTCACCCCCACAACATATTACGTATATTACAACTGCAGTCAAACCTTGCTTTTCTTTAATATGTAATTTAAATAAATACATGCACAGAAATACATTTTCCCATTAGATCAATAAACAAATTCTACTACCAATATATATGGGTACGACAGCATATGAACTGCAAAAGTTACATTAAGAATTCAGTCTTATGGGTAATGCTTAAACATTTACAAGTTAGTTCTTCCATCACCACCAACAAACTATAAATGTGTCTCTGAAAAATGAAAAGGTTGTATAATAAACACTTGTACTCTATAAACAGGATTGCTACAGCTGCAATGACATCATTAGCAGTGTCTAAAAAACTTTGCTGCATAACAACCCAGAAAGTGATTTGTTTTTAACAGAAAACATTCTAACATCCTGGTATCTACCTTGCAGCTCTTTGGCACTTATTGTGCGGCCTTTGGGGTCCCTGCAGACACTAGTCTGAGTTTTCTTTAGACTGGCTGGCTTGGTTTATTCCTTTCACAGCATATTCTTTTATTTCTGTTTTCACTTTTTTTCCCCATGATATTTTCGGAAACATGCTTAGAGAAAAATCAAATGTAGCACAAGTCATTTTTAAGGAGGCTGTAGGGAGGACAAAATGTGGAAGCACTGATAAGGGGTGTAACAGCAGTTATCTCCAGCAGTCTAAGAGCTTGTTCACACCAAATGCAGACCAGATCTGCATGAGTTTTCTGCGTTCCGGGCCTATTTTGGGCTTTCAGTGCATTCCAAAGCGTTTGCATGTGTTTTTGATGCGTTTGCATGTGTTCCAGAGCCAGAAAAATAGGGCTTGCTGCAGTTTTTTTTACATGCTCTGGAACTGAACGCTGCGGTGTGAACTAGAGTCCAAAATACTATTGGAATACATTGGATGCAATTTTGATCCGTTCTGTAACTGCTCTGCGCTTGGTGTGAACTAGACCTAATGTAACATGCTTCTAGTTTATGACTGTGCACTGAAGCACGGACCCAGTCTCCAACCACTTCTACAGCGTGATTCAGTCTCTGACCATCTACTGTAGCATGTCTGCAGTCTCTGGTCCTGTCTTGAAGCATGCTATAGTCTTTGATCATCCGCTGTTGAACATCTGCAGCCTCTAAAAGCTTTCTACAGAATTGCATTCACTGAATATTATGTGTGGCCCTTTGGTGATATTAGAGGCCGCGCTTGAGGCCCTCTATATCAAGTAAATTGACTATCGCTGTATTAAACCAAATATGGCTTTTATTAGTTATGGAACATTGATGTTAGACATAGTCAGTAATAATCAAGAACTAACACATCATATAGCTCATTAAAGCTGGCCTTGCAAGTTTCCAGTTTAAAACACAAAAGTATTTCCCCTGCATTTCCTGTGGCAGCTTGCACACCTTGGCTTCACAAACTTCCCCTGCCAATCAAGGTCAGTGTTCACCTTTCAGTAATGGTAACTCACTCAGGAACTTCTCTGTTAAGGTGACCATACACTTACAATTATCTGCAGATTTTCTGTGGTCAGATGGAAAAAGTGCAACAGATTGGCCCAGGTGGAGATTACTCCATCCACACAGTTTAGCGTAGATGGAGGAATCTGTTGCACCTTTTCCATCTGACCACAGAAACTCTGCAGATAATTGTAAGGTGTATGGCCAGCTTAAGATTCCTTTGGGAGGAGATCAGTCAAGTTCACTGATCTTTTTTTGCAGACATTGATGCTGCTATCCCCCACCAATACCTCCATCCTGAGTGCAGTGGTGGTGGTCCAGATCCTATTTTAAGTCCAGGACCACTGCCTTTATTTTGAAGATGTAGAGTGTGAAGAGATCAATGGAATCCAAGGTTCAGTAACTTCTACCTGCATCAGTGTGAGCTCAAGCTTCCATTGCTGCGGTTAAGGTGCAGAAGGCAGTTTGGAGAACTCAATTTCACCAAAGCATAACTCAATTTCAGCAAAGAATAACCCTGCCTTCAGTTTGCCAATGGTCTGAGCCAGTTTGGATGCAGACTGGAGACTCTCTATTTTAGGTACACACAGAGGAGACACCAGAAATAAAAAAGCCACAAAAAGATCTCTGATGATTTTATAAACAGAACATACAATATCTTTAATAATTGTGCATGAATGCACCAATACCAGTACTTGTACTCGTATAAATCTAATTTTGTGAAAAATGAGATATAGAAATTGAAGTATACATATTTCTGTCAGAAAAGGTCTCCCTTAACACCCTGCTCTACAAAATCTGCAAGGTAAGTAACACAGAGCTCCAAGAGACTGATTACCAGCAATCAAAGAATTTTGCCAGAGACAGTTGTCGTTTTTGCAGGATTAATGTCTGAGGTGCAAATGAAGGTAACAAAGCCGTGAGATTATGTCCCTGCCTATTAAATCAGAACTTGACCAAAAAACATATACCTTATATGCCAGCGTATAAGACGGGTTTTTAGACCCAAAAACACTGCACGAAAATCGGGGGTCGTCTTATATGACGGGTATACTTCGGTATACTGTATGTAGCTTCGGCTACATACAGTATACCGCGCTGAGCCAATCACGGCAGGCTTTGTATTAATGAATACAAAGCCTGTATTAATGAATGCAAAGCCTGCCATGATTGACTCAGCTCTGAGCCAATCACGGCAGGCTTTGTATTAATGAATACAAAGCCTGCCGTGATTGGCTCAGCGCGGTATACTGTATGTAGCTGAAGGACGGAAGATGGAGGACGCTGCGGGGATCGTGGACAAGGTAAGAGACTGTAATCCAGAGTGTGGCTCGGGGGTTACCACTTATGGTACTGAAAATTAACCCCGAGCCACACTCGGGAATACCGCCATGGAGGTTAGTAAGTGCATTTAAACATTATTTTGGGCTATATTTTAACACAAAAAGTAGGGGGTCGTCTTATACGCCGAGTTGTCTTATACGCCGGCAAATACGGTAAGTTAGGAACAAAAACAGAAACATAAGCATCACATGTCGATTCAGTTTTGGAACTCACTTCACATGGAGCACTATCTGACATCTTTGACTGTCCTGAAGAAGTTTCTTCATCATTTAAGCAGTAATAACCTGCAGGCATCACATGTTTGAGCACCAGGCATGCCTCTAAAATCAATTCTGTCTAACTCTTTAACATCTGCTAATGTTGTACAGTGATAGTTTTTGCTTTCTCCCCTTTCTATTGCTTTTTAGTGCAGGCTAACTTTTTTTGTTTATAAATTCAGTTATCCTCATCCTCTGTCACTGGAGGCCAACTTAAATGAGAAATCAAGTCTGTCTGGCATACAAAAAGAGATAAGCAATATGTAATGGAGAAAACAAACATTACTATGGTATAGCAATAGCAGATGGTGAGGAGTTAAACAGCATTTATGTTAGCAAGTCACCTGGTGCTCACTTCTACAGGAACCTATTTGGAAGAATAAGATCTTCCACGAATTTCTTGCTTTTCTGTGAGCTGTGAAATTAAATATTGCTCCACTTCAAATGGCAAAATGATGTTTAAATGTCAAGAACCTTTACTAGGATGAATACATCTCTGCCTCTACATGGTGATTAGGGAGAGGCAAAATATCTGCCTATATCTCTTATAACGATAATGTGGGTTTCAGACACTCAGAGATTAAAAGCATACATCTTTTTTAGCTGACATTGCTGGTCTCTCTTAAAATGCTAGTTCCTTGGCTCTCATGGTCTTTGGTTTTAATACTTTCTAACTTCACTGGCTGCATGCTTGTTTTGGGTCAGTGACTAAGTACTAAAGCTAAGTACTAAATCAATAGCCCGCTATATACTGAGCTTTGGGTCACGGGGGGAGGTTACTGTATGTCCTCCCGTGACCCTAAAAAGAACTATGGGGAAAAACACTTAAACCATAGTTATCTTTTAATCCCTGACTGGGATGTCCAAAAGCAGTGCCACAATGGGGAAGATGAATAACAGAACAGAAAATCAGACTAACCATTTTAAAGAAAAATGCTATAGGGCAGTCAAACTCCCGCTTGCCCAAAACTGGCATTAGCTGATGCTGCTACAACTACCTTGTAAAACTTGGTAAATGTATGAGCTGTTGACCAAGTGACCAACTTACAAACCTGAGAAATTTAGATCTGATGGCAAAAAGCCCAGGATGCACTTCACACCATGCAAAATAAGTCTTCCTTATGATTTATCAGGGTATAAGACATAACCTTGTGATCCTTGGGCATGGTACAGATGACTGCATTTGACAACCCTGCGTCTTTTAGAGCTTACCGAAAGGGACTGTAAAAAAGAGTGGTAAATGTGTCCTTAAGACAGCAGGTCTTCTGAGAGCGGTAGATGCCAAAGAGCATCCACCACCATCTGCCAATGAAAGGAACCCTTGACTTTAGGAGTATCCCTGACTGACCTAGTTAGCAGTGGCATCACACTCCTTCTCTGGGAGCAAGGTTGAGGTGAATTGTTCGTCATACCTCCCTGGAGATGCAGACCCTGAATCCGACCCCTCGTTTGTCACTAATGCTGCACTGAATGCAAAAAGGAAGTGGCAGATGCTTTTTAACCGGTTGTGTCGGGGCACCAGTATATGGGGAGAAAAAAGGCCACCATCATGGCAGCCAAGGAATCTAGGAATGTGGATGGCCCCTAGGCAACCTGAGGACGGGCGTACTATCGCAGGCAACGACTTACAGGTATTGCAAAATGTATTTCCTTGTATTGCTGTACAACATTTCAGACCAAACAAGATGTTCCTTGTCCTGACGACCCCCCATGAAAGTCTGATGCCCACCCGCCACCAAACTCGGACAATAGAAGGTAGGGCCCCTGACAAGGGTACTTAACAGTCCCAAGGGAATGCAGTCCTT